GGCCGGAAATTTTTTCTGCGTCATAAAATTTTTGATTTTTGCGTTCACCACTTTGCTGCTTGTTTACATTTTCACCACCGCACGACATGTCGTATTTTGCCACATCCTCGTAAATTTCATATTCTTCTTTCAGTTCTTGAAAGTACAACATGTGCTTGCTTTCGTTTTTCATTTTGAGTCCGTCAACCGTATACCTGATTACCGACGTTTCATCAACGTTCTTCTTATTTTTTCTTATTTGCAGTAAATATTCATGAAAGGTTTCCGTGTTTAGCTTAATACGTTCCGCCAACTTTTTATGTACGTCAGCACTAGTGTAACATTTGGAAAATTCTCGCATTACCTCCCGCTTCAATGCTTCATAATCGCTCACTTGTACCGATTCTAAGAATATTTTTGCAACCGATGTCATTTTTGCACGCGATTGCATATATTTCTGTTTCGAGCACAGTTCGTATGCGGAGGCATTTTTTTCGAAGTTGTCGAACCAATTTTCTACTGGGATGCCTTTCCCGTCAAACTCTGGAATAATTTTCCCAAAATTTTCTGCACTTATTTTCGTTGTGTTTTCGCGAAGTTCTTCTAATTTAATTTTCTATGCTAGCAGCTGCACCAACGGCGTGCTGGTTACTGTCGTTAGGCATTTTGTTGTTTGAGTTTACCAAATTATTTTTTTGTCTCTGTTTTCTGCCGAGTCACTCCCGCTCTCCTCGTTAACGTTCTCAATTTGACTTTCGCTTAGCGATCTTTGCTTATTTACTTTAGAGCGCGTGTTTTCTGCAACCGATTCCGACATTCGCGATTGCATATCGTTGTTCTTACAGGACAACGATTCAGGGGCAAATTTACTGCTGTCTGCCATACTTTGCTACAATAATACGTGTCGAACCAAGACACAACGCACTTATTGGAATATTATTTCGCCGCTTTTTCTTCGTTTAAATCGATTGGTTAAGCCCCCAAATGTAATAATTGTTTATTAAGCGAAAGAAATGTACAAGGACAAAATTACTGGCTACAAAGGTATATTCACAAAAGATATAAAACGCTGCTGTTAGTTGCGTCTGCTGAGAACGAAAATACTGCCGTGACACTGCCGACTGCCGATCGCAAACTGACTGCAAACCTCTTGACACAGGACTAGGGATGTCAATTTTCGGGGTTTTATCGATCCCGGGATTCTTGGGATCTGAAAATACAATCCCGGGATCCCGGGAT